GGATGTTATTCTACACCATTTGTTATTCCTACACCTTATACAACCCTCATCTCAACCATTCAATTTTTAATCAATTAATTGTTTCCCAATATAAAGTATTAATCATAATTAATAAACTCTATTCATATTCCATAAATATTCAAATCATAATAAATGAACTCCAATCATTTCTATAAATATCTCAATTAATTGGGTTGCAAAGGTTGTACAAATGCACAAGGTTGTACAAATGCACAAGGTTGTAAAAGAAATATACCATATATATATATATATATATATATATATATATATATATATATAAACAGCAACTAGTTGTTATGAAATTTTATATATAACACATTCCAATGTTACAACTTTTACACTACAAATTTTCATATACTGATGATTTGGGTTGCCATGTGGACTCTCACTTCTTTAAGTTTAAGTAATCATCAATTAAACAACATACATATGGTTTCATGTTCATTGAATATCCATCAAATACATGTTTAAAAGTCATATGTGATCTCTATGGCTCTTGCCTTGGAATACAAAAAGAAGTAAAGTAGTATATACAAATTTATTGTCAAGTTTGCGAAATAATGTTCTACATGACGTTGTGAAATCACGTAATCCCCTGGCATGTTCTATTGATTAAAAACGAAAAACATGCATGTTCGACGCACTTATGGAATTAGACATGTACTTAGAAATTAAAGTAGTTTTTGGACCGCAAAATATCAAACTTGATATGGTTCATCGAATCAAGGCATGACTTTTATGGGATATGCTTAATTTGAGATGTATTAACGGACTGAAATACATCATTTCCAAACGTATGAATGATAGAAAATGTTTTTTTAAAGCAAGTCTTGCAAACTATAAAAACAACAGATAAAGTTATATATATATATATATATATATATATATTGCAATCAAATAATTAGAAGAAATGTGTAGGTATGGGATTGACCTTTTCAATTGAAGAACGAGTCGAAGCAAATTATGATTGAGAACGGAATGGTTAAGTATTAAGCAAAGTAAAATGTGTGCTTAGTAAAGTTTGTCATTTGGTAGTTAAAAATGGATACATTTTAAATAAACATACAAAAAACCAGATGTATTTGTTTTACAATTTGTCCTTCTTAATAGGAACAGTAAATATATACTTATGAGTTAAGAAAAATGCATATATCGTTTTTATGTAATTTTTAATTTACATTTTTTGGGGTTGGATTACAGCGAG